GTGAGTGTTGTATGCTGCTGCTGCTGCTAAGTCACTTCAGTCGTGACTGACTTTGTACAACACTATAGATAGCAGCCCACCAGGCTCCCCCATCTGTAGGATTCTCCAGGTAAGAACACTGGAGTGGGTTGCCATTTCCATCTCCCTAGTGTTGTGAGGAAATCATTTTCTAGGCTGTCTTAACATTCTATCATGCATTCTCTCCTGACCTAGATACATACTAGATTGGAAAGTGATGAATCTCTGGCAAAACCAATATTCCTTACTGATGAACAGGTCTTGTGGTTTCTCACCCAAACCTTGTCACTTTTCTGGAGCGAATGAAGGAGCCCAGGAGTATAAGGAGAATGAAGGCTGTGGCCATGTACCCAGTTATGTGTGAATGGATGGAGCCAATGAGTCAGGTGAGAGGTCCAAGTATCAGTGAGGAAGTCATTCTTTGTCATGTGGTTTGGGAAGATCTGCTTCATTGGAAATAATGGAGAAGTCTGGATTTATTTCTGTTGCTGTCATAGACAGCTGTCACCTGCTGTTTGAATGTTGAGTTTGAAGCTAGCTTTTTCAGCCTTTTCTTTCAGTTTCATTAAGAGACTCCTCAGTTCCTCTTCAGTTCAGCTGAGTTCAGTTCAGTCACTCAGTCATGTCCGAATCTTTGCGACCCCATGAATCGTAGCACGCCAGGCCTCCCTGTCCATCACCAACTCCCAGAGTTTACTCAAACTCATGCCCATCGAGTCGGTGATGCCATCCAGCCATCTCATCATCTGTCGTCCCCTTCTCCTGCCCCCAATCCCTCCCACCATCAGGGTCTTTTCCAATGAGTCAATTCCTTGCATGAGGTGGCCAAAGTATTGGAGTTTCAGCTTCAGTATCAGTCCATCCAATGAACACCCAGGACTGATCTCCTTCAGGATGGACTGGTTGGATCTCCATTCAGTCCAAGGGACTCTCAAGAGTCTTCTCCAACACCACAGTTCAAAAGCATCAATTTTTCGGTGCTCAGCTTTCTTCACTGTCCAACTCTCACATCCATATAGGACCACTGGAAATACCATAGCCTTTACCAGACAGACCTTTGTTGACAAAGTAATGTCTCTGCTTTTTAATATGCTCTCTATTGTTCATAACTTTTCTTCCAAGGAGTAAGCGTCTTTTAATTTCATGGCTGCAGTCACCATCTGCAGTGCTTTTGGAGCCCAAAAAAATAAAGTCTGACACTATTTCCACTGTCTCTCCATCTATTTCCCATGAGGTGATGGGACCAGATGCCATGATCTTTGTTTTCTCAATGCTAAGCTTTAAGCCAACTTTTTCACTCTCCTCTTTCACTTTCATCAAGAGGCTTTTCAGTTCGTCTTCACTCTCTGCCATAATGGTGGTGTCATCTGCATATCTGAGGTTATTGATATTTCTCCCAGCAATCTTGATTCCAGCTTGTGCTTCTTCCAGCCCAGCATTTCTCAGTATGTACTCTGCATATAAGTTAAATAAGCAGGGTGACAATATACAGCCTTGACATACTCCTTTTCCTATTTGGAACCAGTCTGTTGTTCCATGTCCAGTTCTAACTGTTGCTTTCTGACCTGCATACAGGTTTCTCAGGAGGCAGGTCAGGTGGTCTGGTATTCCCATCTCTTTCAGAATTTTCCACAGTTTATTGTGATCCACACAGTCGAAGTCTTTGGCATACTCAATAAAGCAGAAATAGATGTTTTTCTGGAACTCTCTTGCTTTTTCAATGATCCAGCGGGTGCTGGCAATTTGATCTCTGGTTCCTCTGCCTTTTCTAAAAACAATTTGAACATCTGGAAGTTCATGGTTCATGTATTGCTGAAGCCTGGCTTGGAGAATTTTGAACATTACTTTACTAGCATGTGATATGAGTGTGGTTGTGTGATAGTTTGAGCATTCTTTGGGATTGCCTTTCTTAGGAATTAGAATGAAAACTGACCTTTTCCAGTCCTGTGGCCACAGCTGAGTTTTCCAAATTTACTGACATAGTGTGTGCAGCAGTTTCACAGCATCATCTTTCAGGATTTGAAATAGCTCAACGGGAATTCCGTCACATCCACTAGCTTTGTTCGTAGTGATGCTTTCTAAGGCCCACTTGACTTCACATTCCAGGATGTCTGGCTTTCGGTGAGTGATCACACCATTGTGATTATCTGGCTTGTGAAGATCTTTTTTGTACAGTTCTTCAGTTCCTCTTCACTTTCTGATATAAGGGTGGTGTCATCTGTGTATCTGAGGTTATGGATAATTCTCCCTCAAATTTTGATTCCAATTTGTGCTTCATCCAACCTGTTATGTCGTATGATGTACTTTGCATATAAGTTAAACAAGCAGGGTGACAATATACAGCCTTGGCCCCACCTTAACCATGGGCAGGATGGCACATGGCCCTGGTGTCTCCCAGATGTTGTTTTCACAAGGGCACCGGCATAGATTCAGTGAAGTCAGATCCTGGGATTGCATTCAACGTGGAGCTGGACCTGCTGTCGTGCTCTGGGGCAGCTCAGGCTCTGTCCTGGCCCAGCCCCCTTGTGTGGGAGCCCACAGAGTCTACAGCAGCTAGAGCTACCCCTGCCTTGACTGAGAGCGCTGGTAGGTGAATCAGATGCTCTGTAGGGGCTGAGGTTACACAGCAGGTCGTGGGTGTTAGACCGTGGCTCTGCAGGGAGAGGTGTCAGCTTTTCTTCTTCATCCCTGGGGCTCAGCTGTGCTTTCAGCTCCATCTGAGTGTGTGGGAAACTCACAGATGTCTTCTCCTGAGCTGCCCCAGAGCACAGGAGTCTACTGATTGTGGAGGAGGTCGATGGGGGAGACCGTGGCTGGGGGCTCAAATGACCTACGTGGGTGGAGTTCTTCATAGTCCTTGGTGAGCAGGGGCCTGCACAAGGGACAAGGGATGCAATGGGCTTCTTTGTTGGGCACCACTCCCCAGTGCCACTCTGCTCCCTGGTGGTTCAGGCTTCCACCACAAGCATCCCATTTGCAAAGCTCCTCCCACAGTCCCATCCCTTCAGGGTCTTTCCTTATAGCCAGCCTCAATCCTCTGCCTCGATCTGGTCTCCAAACCCCACATTTCAGCACCGAGTCCTTGTCTGCAGTGGTGGACATGCCTCTCAGGCTGGGTGGGCAGGGCAGGGGTCAGGACCCCGTATGCAGGTCTCACCCTGTCCTGCTGCCACACACTGGTTGCCTTGTTCTCTTCCCACAGAGAATGAGGCTCTCCTGTCCAAACTGAGTCCCCGACGAGGGGCTTCCCTGGATTTGGAGACTGCTCCTCACTCTCATGTCCCCCCAGGTTGCAGGCCTCACCCCACTTCCTCTCCTCTTCCTTTTCCTTCTTCTTTCTCTTGTCCTACCTGGCTCAGCAGGATTCTTTCTTGTTTCTTTAGATTTCGAGGGGTCTCTGCTAGTGTTCAGCTGGGCTCTGTGAAAATTCTTCCATTTCTCATTCATTTGTGGAGAGAGAGATGGTCTCCACGTCTGCCTAAGCCTCTTGCATCTTGATCCTTCTGTCTCTATTTTATTTTATTTTTTATATTTTATTTTTTAAACTAGTTATGGTCGTCAATTTTCTCTAAATCTTTAAAAATATTCACTGCAAACAGCAGGGGAAATTTCTTGTTATTTGATATCTTTCAGCTGTGTCTCCACAAGACACCCAGGATTTGATGCCAAAGAATCCAGCGATAGAAGATGTATTCCCAGAAGCAAACCTAGGAATATATCAAATATTTCACCTCAGAAATTTAAATTTAATGAAAATCTTGGAATATATGAGGAGATGTGAAGACAGAGAGGATGTTTATACTGACATAAAGAAATGGAGACAGTTACACAGAATGCTAACATTACTGCAAACAGAAATCATCAACATGAGTCAAATTGGGAAAAAGCCAACTTCAGTCTTCAACATCTGCAGAGAAGTGTTAGTGTTTAAGAAAATGTTTCCATCCTTTTTTGAAACATACATATTCTGTAAAAGGAAACGTGGAAAATCTGGAAGGTAATCTAGTCTCTAATGCAAATACTTATTCTGAATGTAAGCTTCAACTAACCATATATTCAGGCATATCTGAACACCTAAAATTTAACAATTTAAAATTGTGAGTGGAAAAACTCACAATCTAATCAATTTGAGGGATCCGTGAGCAGGGGTCATTTTTCTTCCTGCAACAAATATTTTCTGTCTATTCCAAGATGTATAATGTTGATGATAATGAAAGAGATGCAATCCAACCATCATTGTTCAATACATATTGTGATATGGTCAATACACAACAACTTTCCATGTGCAATGAAATGAGTCAGACCTTAAGGAAGAGCTCCAGCTCCAATAATGACAAGAGTATTTATGGTGGACTGAGAAGGTATTCAGGCAATGAAACTGGGTATACTGCTGAAGGAGACGCCAACCTTAAGAAACATCAGGGACCCGAATCTTCAAACAAGGATTCTAGAAGTGATAAATGTAGAAATGCCTTTGATCAAATGTCAGGTTTTTCTCTTGATAAGAGTACTTGCACTGAAGAGAGGACTTGTCCTGAATGTGGTAAGGTTTCTAGTCAGTCTTCAGAACATTTTCAACAGCACACTGTTCACAATCCACAGAAAGAAAACAAGTGTAAGGTATGTGGGAAAGTGTTTAGTAACTCATGCCATCTAAGGAGACAAGAAAATTCATACAGGAAGGAAACCTTTCCAATGTACAGAATGTAGCAAAGTGTGTAACCATTGCTGACTTCTTACTAAACATCAGAGAATTCACACTGGAGAGAAACCTTATAAATGTACAGAATGTGGCAAAGCCTTTACTTACAGTTCACATCTTATTCAACATCTGCAAATTCATACTGGACAGAAACATAAATGTACAGAATGTAGCAAAGCCTTTCTCTGTTACTCACAGCTAACCTATCATCAGTGAATTCATACTGGAGAGAGACCTTATAAATGTAAAGAATGTAACAAAGCCTTTCATCTTCCCTCAGTTCTTACTGGACATCAGCGTATTCGTTCTGGGCAGAGACCCTGTAAGTGTAAAGAATGTAACAAAGCCTTTATTCAGTGCTCACATCTTACTCAACATCAGCGAATCCATAATGGGGAGAGACCATATAAATGTACAGAATGTGGCAAAACCTTTAGTCATAGTGGTTGGCTCACTAAACATCTGAGAAAACACACTGGAGAGAAACCATAGTAAAGGAACAAGTGATGGAAGAGGTTTGCCCTAAACATGCATCAGAAAGCACAAGGGTTTATACAAGAAACCTATGAAAATGATGTACCAAATATGTAGAAAGGTATTTAATCAAAAGTTAAGTTGAAGTAAATATCAGAGATTGCATACTAGAAGGCTTTTTATCAATCTTTTCAGAAGTTTCTCTGAAGGAGAATGACTGTAGGGAGTCCTCCATAGTTAAAACACATAGAAAGTGGATATATTAGCATGAATCATGAGATGAAGGTTGATGGTTAGAAAGTTACAATTCTTAGCAATGTATTTATGTGTGTTAATAATGATGTGATTTGAGATTATTTGAAGTGAATGTAACTCAGCACTCAAATAATCCATACTATGCCTTTTTTCTAGTGTGTTTGCAAACATAGGTTTTTGATGGTTTATTAAAGATTAGCCTTTTTATATTGTGCTGCAACCATTTCTATCTATTCTCTATTAGAAGATGAAGGATACCATAGTGTAAAATGTACAATGAACATCTAAGTCGAGGTGTTTGGCATTGATGTGAAATATCTGGAAGTTTCCATGATGTAAATGATCATTTAATCTTTCCATGTATTAAAGTAAAACAGAAGTTGGTTGTAAGGTTTCAATAGTAACATCCTTGATTTGTGAGAAGAACACAATGACAGTTCACTGCAATATTGATGTATCTTTATAATATCAACACAAGTTATGATTGTTACTTGACAATGTTGAAATAAAGACAGTGATAACCTAGAAACTTATTAGAAACCCTTCTTGGAAAAGGCATGGAATTAGTGTATATCATACTTGCTAAGTGCTCCCTTGTTTGCTAAGCCATAAAAATAACAAATCTCACATCATTATATCTAAAAATGAGTATCTTTCTCTGTACTTTTGATATGTATTTAATCATGAATCATACTGCAGATTGTAAAAGGTTTTATTTCAATTATGTGTGAAATTAACACATGGTTATTAATAAAAATGAATGAATTTTAGTGTTTTAGTTGATTGTAATGAATAAATTGTTAACCCACCACCAACAGCAATCTCACCCTCCTTATTTAAGGTGGTAATGAAGAGATGACAATGAACTATTTGGCCGCACAGAGAGATGGCATATGTGGAAATTAGTTTACCCACTGGCTTTAAATTTCTCACAACTTCAGATATATTCCATCATTTCTATGTTGTATCTCCTCTCCCATTTTGTAACTACTTGGACACTGTGATGGTTCTAATAAGAAACAGTATACAGAGTACTGTTGAGAGCTTCCCTGAACTACTCCATGCTGTTGCTGCCTCAGCATCTGTCTGGGGAGCAGGCAGCATGCAGGTCCTTGAACTCACACCAGCCAGTCCTGTGAGCGCCTGCACTAGATGACCCCTTCCTTGAGATCAGCAGTCTTGCTGAACCCCAGGGCCTACTTTTCAGGCCCCCCCTTCAATCACACTGAGAGAGTCAATTTCTAGGGAGGTTGATAAGTCCAGGGGTCCCCAAGGAGAGAGGGGTCTGGAATTCTCATGGAGGAAGAAAGGACAAACGTTTTATTTTTTCCTCTGCATTCATTCAGTTCAGTTCAGTTGCTCAGTCGTGTCCGACTCTTTACAACCCCATGAATCGCAGCATGCCAGGACTCCCTGTCCATCACCAGCTCCCAGAGTCCAGGCAAACCCATGTCCACTGAGTTGGTGATGCCATTCAACCATCTCATCCCCTGTTGTCCCTTTCTCCTCCTGCCCTCAATCTTTCCAGCATCAGGGTCTTTCCCAATGAGTCAGCTCTTTGCATCAGGTGGCCAAAGTATTGGAGTTTCAGTTTCAACATCAGTCCTTCCGGTGAAAACCCAGGACTGATCTATTTAGAATGGACTACTTGGACCTCCTTGCAGTCCAAGGGACTCTCAAAAGTCTTCTCCAACACCACACTTCAAAAGCATCAACTTTTTGGCGCTCAGCTTTCTTCACAGTCCAACTCTCACATCCGTACATGACCACTGGAAAACCCATAGCCTTCACTAGACGGACCTTTCTTGGCAAAGAAAACTATAAACAGGGGGAAAAGACAATCCTCAAGAGTGGGAGAAAACAATAGCAACTGAAACAATTGACACAGGATTAATTTCCAAGATATACAAACAGCTCATACAACTCAATACCAGAAAAACATACAACCCAATCAAAAAGTTGGAAACAGACCTAAGCAGACATTTTTCCAAAGAAGACTTACAGATGGCTAACAAACACGTGAAGATTCTCAACCTCACTCATGACTAGAGAAATGCAAATCAAAGCTACAAGGAGATATCACGTCTCACCTGTCAGAATTGTCAGAATGGCCAGTGGGGGAGGAGCCTCGCCTCCTCTCACCCCACCCCTTTCCGTTTGGGGCTCTGTTGGTCCTTCTGCCCAACTGTGCTTCCTTTCTCTGCTTTTCGCTGCCTTTAAATCTCTTTGATTTCCTCTGGAGCAGAGCTGCTTCTTGCCTGTTCTAAATTAGTGTTTCACACAACTTAAGCAAAAGATAATTTTTTTTCCCTTATACATAGCTATTTATTTAGCTCTGTGGCGTCTGTTGTTGCAGCATGTGGGATCTAGTTCCCTGACCAGGGATTGAAACTGGGCCCTGGGCATTGGGACCTGGACCAATACTTTAGCCACTGGACCACCAGGGAAGTCCGAGCAAAAGAGAATTTTTAGAGCCGCCTCGATGGGAAGCAGAGACGTTTTCAGCAAGTTGAAAAAAGGCAAAATTCAACAGCTCTTTGTGCAAGTGTGTGAAGATGGGTGTCTCATAAGTGCTGAAAAGTTGAATATAATCCCTCAGATGATCCGTTGGGAGGAAGCCTCAGTAATTGTAACCAGAGACCTGCTTACAATGAGGCAGCTGGCTTTTCCCTTAGGAAGTGATTCCAGAAAGAATGAGGAAGACCGGAATCCAGTGTCACCTGTAACATAATCACAGAAATGATATGCCGTTACTCCTGCCACATTCTGCTGATATAAAGACTATTCTGGTAATTCTTGGTGCTGCTGGTGCTGCTGGTGCTGAAGCAACCAATTGCCCTCCTTCAACCAGGACTGAACAAGTTTCAAAGAAGCAGGACCTTTTATGCTAAATCTGGGCAGGACACTAGCCCAGTGGTGTGCGTTGAACACCTCAACTGCTCTGCAGTTCGCTTCCCAAGAACCGTCCCCCCTGCTGGCTTTCTTTCCTAATCTCCTCACACAGTCCCTGAAAGGATATTCTGGAGAAGAGCTAACAAGACAGGAAAGAGAGTGCCACAGAAAACTGTATCCAAAGAGAGTACACCTTTCTCTTTAAATGTGAGATTAGCAACTTCCCTGGTAGTCCAGTGGTTAAGACTCTGTGCTTCTTTCCACTGAAGGTTATGTGGGTTCAATTCCTGGTGGGGGACCTAAGTTCTCAGAGTTGAAGATTTAATCATTTCTTACACAGAAAGCATTAACCAGTACAATATAACGGAAAATATATATCAAGTTAATAAATTACTTATTAAAGAAAACGTGTTGAGGAACTTCCCCGGTGGTCGAATGGTTAACACCCCACCTTCCGATGCAGTGATTGTGGTTCCTTACCTATGAGGGAAACTACGATCCCAAATGCTTTGGGCTGTGAACAAAAACGAAAATACCTTTCTGAAGTATCTGTGAGTGGGGACAAATTCTAAGTAGGGCATATTGATACTGATTTTCATGATTAAAGCATCAATAGCTCAAATCTCACGGTTCCCTGCTGGAACCTCGGGTGGTGAACATGACTGTGGTCACCAAGACCTAGGAGAACATTCTCTAGGGAGTTGGAACTAAAGTGTACCTGCTCTTGCAGACTACAGTGGGAATCACGGGGGAATTTCTGTCTAACAGACATTGAGTCCTACCAGTATACACAGGGAGTATTTGCCTCAAGATACTTCTTGAGAAGTTGTATGACATTTCAGGCAATGTGGTATGAAAATTTCACCTCCGTAAAATGACAGATGGAGAAATTCCCTCAAAGTGAAAATCCTTCTCAGGTACTTTGGCTCCATGTCGCTACTCATAATCTAAAGGGAGGCACAGTTCACTGGTCAACTAATTTTTGGTAGAAAGACGTCTCATGGAGACAAACTACACAAGCAAACACATGACACTCCCTTCCTTTCTTAGACCTCAGTATTTCCTACTGCTTCCATGTGAGTCCCTGTCTGTCTCCAGGGACCAAGGGGAATAGAAGCTTCCTCAAGCATTTCAATAGTCTCTTTGGAGATGATCGGCATAAACTTTTGATTGTTTTTTTATCACTAGCAACTGAGCAATAAAGGTTTTCACATACAATCTCAGTTCCCCAAGCCTGTGTCACATAGAAGCTACAGGTGAAAAGATAATTGCAGTTCTGAAGGGACGTGAATCACAGGATGACAAGCCCTTATCTAGGGGTCTGGCTGCCCCCCTCCCTGCCACAGGAGCAGCTTGCCGTGACCAGAACCCACTATCAGGGAAATGAGAGGACGTCAAGTGAGTATTTTCTGTTTCAGCCTGAGGTCAAGAATCTGCAAGAAACAGGTGCTTCGGGGAGTCTGGGTTGGTGACCATACAGGAAAAAGGAAGTGTTCTGACTCAAAGTAATCCAGGGCCAAAGCAACACGGGAAGGAGGAATAATTCAAAAAATTAAATGGAGCTATTAAAGAGAGATTGGGTGCTACACCAGATATCAGTTCCTAATGCCTCTTAATATATCTTAGTGTAATTCTTTTTGAAAAAAATATTTATTTGGCTGTACGGGATCTTACTTGTGGCATATGGGATCTAGTTTCCTGACGAGGGATCAAACCTAGGCCTTCAAACCCAACCTCCCCCACCCACCACCCACATTGGGAATGAGGAGTCTTAGTCACCGGGCCACCAGGGAAGTCACAGTGTAACTTTTGTGACAGTGATTGTTACTGTTGAATCCAAGCCATATGAAACCTGATGTTTAATGTAACTAGTGACTGGAATTGCATAGATAGATCTGAAATCATGGAGTACCTTACAGAAATCGTACATTTTTAGGGTTACTATGCGTGTGCCAATAGCAACTCCATGATTAATAAAAATAAAACTATAGGAATGATCTGTCTTTAATAGAAACAGTGTATACAGTTGACAATTCTGTGCTTAGTCGATGAATCGTGTCTGACTCTTTGCAACGTCATGCACTGTAGCCCACCAGGCTCCTCTGTCCATGGAAGTCTCCAGGCAAGAATAGTCTCTTTCTTCCTTCAGTTCAGTTTAGTTCAGTTCAGTTGCTCAGTCATGTCTGACTCTTTACAACCCCATGGGCTGCAGCATGTCAGGCCTCCCTGTCCATCATCAACTCCCAATGTCTATTCAAACTCATGTTCATTGAGTCATGATGCCATCCAACCATCTCATCCTCTGTTGTCCCATCTCCTCCCACCCTCAATCTTTCCCAGGATCAGGGTCTTCTCAAATAAGTCACGTCTTTCCATCAGGTGGCCAAAGTATTGGAGATTCAACTTCAACATCAGTTGTTCCAATGAATATTTAGGGCTGATTTCCTTTAGGATGGACTGGTTGAATCTCCTTGTAATACAACGGACTTTCAAGAGTCTTCTCCAACACCACAGTTCAAAAGCATCAATTCTTAGGGGCTCAACTTTCTTCATAGATCAACTCTCAAATCCATACATGACTACTGGATAAACCATAGTCTTGACTAGATATACCTTTGTTGGCAAAGTAATGTCTCTGGTTTTTAATATACTGTCTAGGTTGGTCATAAATATTCTTCCCAGGAGTAAGGCTCTTTTAATTTCATGGCTGCCGTCACCATCTGCACTGATTTTGGAACACAAAAAAATTAACTCTGCCACTGTTTCCACTGTTTTCCCATCTATTTGCCATGAAGTGTTGGGACCAGATGCCATGATCTTAGTTTCCTGAAGGTTGGGCTTTAAGTCAAGTTTTGACTCTACTCTTTTACTTTCATCAAGAGGCTTTTTAGTTCTTCTCTTTCTGCCATAAGGGTGGTGTCATCTGCATAGCTGGGGTTATTTTATTTCTCCCAGCGATCTTGATTCCAGCTTGTACTTCTTCCAGCCCAGCATTTCTCAGTATGTACTCTGCATATAAGTTCAATAAGTAGGGCGACAATATACAGCCCTGATGTACTCCTTTCCCTATTTGGAACCAGTCTGTTGTTCCATGTTCAGTTCTAACTGTTGCTTCCTGACCTGCAGACAGAGTTGTCAAGAGGCAGGTCAGGCGATCTGGTACTCCCATTTTTCTAAGAATTTTCCACAGTTTCTGGTGAAGGTTACTGTTGGTTGTGGGTTAACACTTCATTCATTACAACCAACTAAAACACTAAAAACCATTCACTTCTACTAATAGTCTTGTATGAATTTCATACATAGTTGAAATAAAAAATAATCCACGGGATGATCCATGATTAAATACATATCAAAAGTACAGAGAAAGATATCATTTTTCTGATTTTTATGGTGTATAAAACAAAGCCTAGGAAACAATTAGTAAACATGAAATACACTAATTGCCTGCCTTTCCCAGAAGGGTTTCCAATACATTTCTAGGTTATAACAGAAGCTGTCTCTTTCAGCACTGTCAAGTAATATTCATGACGTGCTGAAATTATAAAGGTACATCAGTATTGTCGTGAACTGTGATGGTGTTCCTCTTTCAGATCACCTAATATAACTATTGAAAATTTATAACCAACTTCTGTCTTCCTTTAATACATGAAAGCATTCCATGATCACTGACATCATGGCAACCTCCTCCATTTAGATGTTCATTGTCCATTTTACATTATGGTATCCTTCATCTTCTAATGGAGAATAGGTAGAAATGGTTGCAACACAATATGAAAAGCCTAATCTTTCAAGCATAAACCATCCAAAACCTATGTTTGCATACATACTATAGAAGTGAAGCATAGTATGGATTATTTGAGCATTGAGTTACATTCACTTCTAATAATCTCAAATCACGTCATTATAAACAAGCATACACTGCTATTAATTATAACTTTCTAAACGTCAATCTTCATCTCATGATCCATGCTAATATATCCATTTTCTGTGAGTTTTAACAATGGAGTACTCCCTATAGTAATTTTCCTTCAGAGAAACTTCGGAAAAGAGGATTGATGAAATACTTTTTAATATGCAGTCTCTTATGTTTCTTTATATTTGACTTTTGATTAAATACTCTTCTTCATATTTATTACATTTTCCCATAGGTTTTGTGTATAAACTCTCAAGTTATCTGATGCATGTTTGACAAACCTTTCATCACTTGTTCCATTACTACTGTTTTTCCCAGGTGTATGTTCTCAGCTGTTTAGTGAGATGACCACTATTACTAAAGCCTTTGCCACAATCTTCATGTTTTTAAGGTTTCTCTCCAGTACGAACTCGCAGATGTGTAGCGAGAATTGATTTCTGATTAAAGGCTCTGCCACATTCTGTACATTTATATGGTTTCTCTCCAGTATGCACTCGCAAATGTGTAGTGAGAGCTGATTTCTGATTAAAGGCTTTGCCACATTCTGTACATTTATAAGGTTTCTCTCCAGAATGAACTCGCAGATGTTTAGTGAGAATTGATTTCCGATTAAAGGCTTTGCCACATTCTGTGCATTTATACGGTTTCTCTCCAGTATGCACTCGCAAATGTGTAGTGAGAGCTGATTTCTGATTAAAGGCTTTGCCACATTCTGTACATTTATAAGGTTTCTCTCCAGAATGAACTCGCAGATATTTAGTGAGAATTGATTTCTGATTAAAGGCTTTGCCACATTCTGTACATTTAAAAGGTTTCTCTCCAGTATGATTTCACTGATGTTTAGTGAGATCTGATTTGGCATTGAAGGCTTTCCCACATTCTGTACATTTATAAGGTTTCTCTCCAGTATGAACTCGCAGATGTTTAGTGGGTTTCGATTTGTCATTAAAGTCTTTGCCACATTCTATACACTTATACGGTCTTTCCCCAGTATGATTTCGCTGATGTCTAGTAAGAGCAGAACTGTTCATGAAGGTCTTCCCACATTCTGTACACTTATAACGCTTCTCCCCCATATGAATTTGGTGATGCTTGCTAAGATTTGACCCTGTAATAAAGGCTTTGCCACATTCTGAACAATTTATAACATTTCTCTCCAGTGTGAGTAAGCTGATGTTGAGTAAGAAGTGAGCGACGGATAAATCTTTTGCCACATTCTGTACATTTGAAAGATTTCCTTCCTGTATAAATTTTCCTACGTCTACTTAGATTGGATGAGGTACTAAAGACTTTCCCATGTATCTTACATTGGTGTCCTTTCTGTGGATTTTGAATAGTTTGCTGTTGTACAAGTTCTGAAGACTGATTAGAAGCTTTACCAAATTCACTACAATTATAAGTATTCTCTCCAGTGGGAATACTCTTTACAGAACGAACTGACATCTTATAAAAGATATTTCTACATTTATTACCTTTAGAATCCCTGTATGATGATTCAGGTACCTGATGTTTCATAAGGTTTGAGTCTCCTTCAACCTTATACCCAATTTCATTGCTTGAATACCTTCTCATCCACCATAAATACTCTTGTAATTACTGGGGTTGGAACTCTTACTTAAGACCTGACTAATTTTATTACAAGTGGAAAGCAGTTCTGTATTAGCAATATCATGATGTGTATTGAACAATGACAGTTGGACTACATCTCTTCCATTATCATCAACATTATACATTGTGGAAAGGAGAGGAAATATCTTTTGCTGGAAAAATAATGACTTCCTGCTCACAGATCCCTCAAATTGAGTATACTGTGAGCTTTGCCCCTCATTTTTAAATTTCAGATGTTCAGACATGCTTGAATGTATGCTTAAATGAAGGCTACATTCAGAATTGTGTGAATGAGTATTTGCAGTGGAGACTAAATCACCTTCCAAATATATCACGTTTTCTTTCAGAGAACATGTATGTTTCAAAAGGTGATGTAAATCTTTTTTTAAAACACTTACAATTCTCAGCAGATGTTGAGACTGAAATTCGTGTTTCTCCCAGTTTGAATCATGTTCCTCATTTCTTTTTGCAGTAAGATTTGCCTTATGTGTAACTGTCTCAATTTCTTCATGTCCATATAAACATCTTCTCTGTCTTTCATATGCCCTCATATATTCTAAGTGTTTTCTTAAATTGAAGTTTCTGAGCTGTAGTCGTTCATATATTCCTAGGTTTGTTTTGGAAACAAATCTTTTATCCTTGGTTTTCGTGGCATCAAATCCCAGGTGTCTTGTGGACACATAGCTGAAAGATAACAAATAATAAGTAATTTTTCCTGCTATTCTCAGTGAATATCCTTAAAGATTTAGAGAAAACTGATGAACGCTTTACTAGCTCAAAAATAAAATAGAGAAGGGAGGATCAAGGTGCCAGAGTATTAGGAGGACACAGAGTTTTCTTTCCACAAAATCATCAAGAATACATCAGAAATGGAACACTTCTCAAAGAGCCAAGCTGGCCAGTAGCAGAGGCCCTTGGAAATCTACAAGGAAAAATACATCCCTGCTGAGCCAGGTAGGACAAGAGAGAGAAGAAGCAAAAGGAAGAGGAGAGGAAGCGGGATGGGGCCTGCAACTTGGGGGGACATGAAAGTGAGGAGCGGTCTCCACATCCGGGGAAGCCCCTCATCAGGGAGCTCAGTTTGGACAGAAGGAGAGCCTCATTCTCTGTGGGAGAGAAGATGGCAACCCGCATGTGGCAGCAGGACAGGGTGAGACCTACACACGGGGTCCTGAGCCCTGCTCTGCCCACCCAGCCTGAGAGGCACGGCCACCACTGCAGACAAGGGCTGGGGCTGAAATGTGGGGTTCAGAGCGCAGACCCTGGCAGAGAACTGCGGTTGGCAGTGAGGAGACATCCTGAGGGGACGGGAGTAAGGGAGGGCCTTTATAAATGGGATGATTGTGGAGGAAGCCTGAACCACCACAGAGCAGAGCACAAATGTCTGGACCAATCTCACACACCAAGGTGCAGGCACCAGAGGGATGACTGACTAGGTGCCCGTAGCCTTCAAAACAGAGACTACCAGCCGAAAACTGGACAAAATGAGATGGCACAGGAATGTGTGACAGAGGGAGAAACAGGCTAAGAACCTACAGGAACCATTAATGAAGAGGAGATAGGCAATCTAAGGATTACTTCTCGCTTTTAGTCATCTGAAGTGGAGACACCAAACATTTTCACAAATCCTAGCTGCCTAATAATTCTTTAGTACACTTCTTGTCCAACATGTTTCAAAGAATGTTCTACTAGATGCTTCAACCTAAAAATAACACATGATATTGACAGAGAACTAATCATAAAGTGAACACACATAGGAAAATATCCGAGGAAGCTCATTACACATAAGATAAATTAATAATTTCTTTTTAAAAAATAATTTCTTAAGAAATTAAATGAAAGAAGAGACTTTGAAAATATCCTTGGAACACTGGAAATTCTGCTCATTACTCTATGGAGACCTAAACGGGAAGGAAATAGAATGGGAAAGACTAGAGATCTTTTCAAGAAAATTAAAGATACCAGGGGAACGTTTCATGCAAAGATGGGCACAATAAAGGACAGAAATGTTATGGGCTTAACAGAAGCAGAAATTCTTAACAAAAGGTATCAGGAATACGTGGAAGAGCTATAAAAAAATATCTTAATGACCATGATAACCAGGATGGTGTGATCACTCACCTAGAGACAGACATCCTGGAGTCTGAAATCAAGTGGGTCTAAAGAAGCGTCACTACCAGCAGAGCTAGTGTAGGTGGAATTCCAGTTGAGCTATCTCAAATCTAAAAGATGATGCTATGAACATGCTGCACTCAATATGCCAGCAAATTTGGAAAACTCAGTAGTGGCCTCAGGACTGGGAAACGTCAGTTTTCATTTGAAACTCAAAGAAAGGCAATGCACAAAAATTTGAAAATGACCACACAGTTGCACTAATTTCACACACTAGCAAAGGCAGGCTCAAAATTCTCCAAGTAAGTCTTCAACAGAATGTGAACTGAGAAATGCCAGATGTTCAAGCAGTATTTAGGAAAGGCAGAGGAACCGGTGATCAAATTGCCAACACCCCTTGGATCATCGAAAAAGCAAGAGAGTTCCAGAAAAACATCTTCTTTGGTGTTATTGACTATCCCAATGCCTTTTACTGTGTGGATCACAACAAACTGGAAAATTCTGAAAGAGATGGCGATATAAGACCACCTTACCTGCCTCCTGACAAATCGCTATGCAGTCAAGAAACGACAGTTAGAACCAGACATGGAACAACGGACTGGTTCCAAATTGGGAAAGGAGTATGTCACAACTGTATATTGTCACTCTGCTTATTTAACTTATATGCAGAGTACATGATGCATGAGCCCTGGGTGATCCCTGTGTTGGGAAGATTCCCTGGAGAAGGGAAAGGCTACCCACTCCAGGATTCTGGCCTAGAGAATTCCATGGACGGCATAGTCTGTGGGGTCGCAAAGAGTTGGACATGACTGAGCACCTTTCACTTTCACTTTTCATCATGCTAAATGGTGGGCTGGAAGAAGCACAAGCTGGAATCAAGATACAGGGAAAATATCAACAACGTCAAATATACAGATGACACCATGCTCATGGCAGAAAGCAATGAGAAACTGAGGAGTTTCCTGATGAAACTGAAAGAGGAGAGTGAAAATCTGCCTTCAAACTCAACATTCAAAAAACCAAGATCATGGCATCCAGTCCCATCACTTCATGGAAAATAGTTGGGGAAACAGTGGAAACACTGACATACTTTATTTGTCGGGGCTCCAAAATAACTGCAGATGCTGACTTCAGCCATGAAATTAAAAGATACTTGCTCCTTGTGTGAGAGCCATTTTCTAGGTAGGTTGATAAGAAATCTAGGAGTCCCCAAGTAGAGAGAAGTCTGGAATACTCAAGGAGGAAGAAAGGTTAAACTTTTTACTTTTTTTCCTCTACATTCCTTAGGATTATATAACAATAATGTATCCTGCCTGAGGACAGTCTCTGGCTAATCCTGTTATCTTACAATGTAAATAATGGGAGTAGGTCTAGTCTTTACAAGTATTATATAACAATGTATCCTGCCTGAGGACAGTGTCCGCATTAAACCTTGTGGCTAATTCTGATATTTTAAAATGTAAATTATAGGAATAGGTTTGGTAAGGCCTTTACAAGCTCCAGACATTCTGTGGATTCATTGGAGAGTATATAACTCCATTGCTAACAATACGAAGCGGGTACTCTTCCTGCCTTCTTCTTATGTCTATGTCAGACTTTCTCTACCTCCTTTATACTTTAATAAAATTTTATTACACAAAAGCTCAGAGCGATGAAGCCCCGTCTCTGAGCCCAGATTGAATTTTTCTCCTCCGGAGGCCAAGAACCCTGGCACCTTTGCATGATTCAGCAATAGCCTTTCACTTGGAAGGAAAAGTATGAACAACCTAGACAGCTTATTAAAAAGCAGAGACTTTACTTTGCTGAAAAATGTCTGTCTAGTCAAAGCTATGGTTTTTCCACTAGTCATGTATGGATGTGAGAGTTGGACCATAAAGAGAGCTGAGTCCCGAAAACCTGATGCTTTTGAACTGAGGTGTTGGAGAAGACTCTGAGACCCTTGGACTGCAAGGAGATCACATC